TTTTTTTTTTTTTTTGTTACAAAAGTTGTTCAAAACAAAATTTGTTTTTGGTGTGATCCCCGCCAAACGTAGTTTCGATAGCTAGTCTCTGAGTCAATATTATTTTTTGCATTAAACTGATTTTGAGTTGAAATTTGGGACTTTTATTTCGGATGCAACAGCAGGGAAACCCTGCATTTTTAGTTGAAAACGTTTGAAAACATATACTTTCTTCTTACTGATTTTTTCACTGAGAAATGCAAAAAAAAAAAAGTTTTCGAAGTCGTCGATAATGTGTCGAAAAGCAGAAGGGCATTTTGCGTCTGCGTCTATTGCACTTTTTCTAAACTGATGGTGTAAAAGTTCACCGTTACGATTGTCTAGTAATTCACTGTTGGCATAAACTTGTCTAATTTCCGAATTAAAAGTCAGGTGCCAGGACGTGAACCATGAAGTTGAGAAAGTTGACTGAAAACTTTGAGGAAGTTTCAACTGTTTTGCAATAATATGACTGTACAGTGTGTAACAGACAGCAATAAGCCTACGAAAACATACAGTAGAAGTAAAATACCTTGTGTTTTGTATTTGTTATAATTTTTTTACTGAAATATTTAACTTACTTGCTGCAGTTTATTACTGACTTAAGCTATTTGCTTTATTCGGAACATCACTGATAATCGGTATTTGATGTTTGCTTACTCTAACTGTCAACTGATAAAGTTGTAAACCTGATGAGGAAAAATCTATATCTATCAATACTTTTTTTGCTTATGACATACGTTACAGTTGAATATTGCAGTATTTCTGACAAAAAAAGATTTTTTATTGGTTTTCACATCTCAGACTTTAAATAAACGCAGTCGAACAATGAATTGGTTATGGCTTACAGATCGTGACCAATTGTTTGTATTAGTTTGTTTTTGTTCCAAAATTTATAGATGAAGTTAACATTGAGAATTTCAAGAATTTTGCTGCAATTTGTTTGTTTACAGATTTTCGAAAAAAGAAAAAATTCTTTCAAGTTGCAGAGTAATTTGGCATCCTTATTATGACCCCAGTTTTCCTGTTCTGGGATTTTTTCAACAGCTTCTGTAGCGAAGTTTTGTGTTGTTAATATCAAAACACAGGTTAAAAGACGATGAATACTAAAACAAAAACAACAGTTAAAAAGGTAGCTTTGCAGAGGTTCATTAAGTCGCAAAAAGTGTTTTGCTCTTCTCAACAGAAAAAAACCCGAAAATTACAAATTTTCTTAGAATTAAAAGTGACTTTTGCTACATTATACACTTATCACACTGTAAAAAAATATTTTTTTTTGTTAAAATCTAAGCAGATAATTTGTTAGTCAACCTCTTTTCGCCTCAACCTCAAAACAATTGTTGCATTTTTTGTTGAATGGCACCATTGCTGCAAACTTATCCTGACCTTAGCGCTCTATCAGTTGGGCCAAGAATTTTACTTAACAAATGTTATGGTCCCAAATATAATGGCTGAAAACCTTCTGTACTATAGTGTCCGTAACATTTAAATTTAACGGTAAGACAAAAAGTTTTAATAAGCGATAAAAAATCTGTAAATGGCGATTTTTAACAATATTTTTCTTGTAGTTTTTAGATTGAACAATCATTAACAAAGTGTTCTCCTACTGCATATTCTTGGATACTTAGCAAAAAAAAAATTGGTAAGGAATTGCATCTGTTTCCATCGTTTCATCCCGTAACACCCGAAAGTCGAAGAAAAAAAAATATCTACCATCTGTCAAGAGTTATCAGCTTCTCCTGCCGTTGGCTTCTCCCCACGCCCCAACCGGTTCCAAATGATCCTGTCGACTCGCCGACTTAAACAGTACAGTGAAAAGCAACGAAAAAAATGGCAAAATTTGGAAAAACTAAGAATTTCGCTAACTGTAAAGCTTTGTTACGTTATTTGCAATGACTGTTAAAGCTAACTGTCTTAGTTTGCGCAAAAACTTCAGGTGACGTCAAACAGCAACAGTGAAATAAAATAAGCCAAACACCTAAAAAAATTATACTTTCAAGATAAAAAAAAAAGAAAATGCTGTTTATTTTGGCGTAAAAATAAGATTTTTGTTTTTGAAGTGACGTGGATCAGTTTATTCAGTTATCTTCTTCCTCGTGGTATTCAGCAGCACAATTAGGTTAGGCTAAAATACTCACTGCTCAGGTGAAAGGCTGCATTTATTTGCTCGGATATTCACTGAAGAAGAAAAGTAATAATGCTGCTGTTGTTCTTGATAGTTTTTGTTGTCTTCCTCAAACCTTGATTCATCTTTGGTTTAAGCTGTCTTATAAAGGTAAAAAAGAGACAAGTCATAATAAATCGCTATCTGAAATTTGTCTGTTTTGTAAGGGTTTTGAGTGGTCGTTGTATGCAATGTATTCAGTCCCTGAGCCAAAATTTTTTTTCAGTTTTCTAACTCGTCAACAACGTATACAGGTGAATTCGACAATGAGCAAATTATATATCTGTATGGTGGAATTCAAAATTGTTGTTGCCCTGATAAGTTGATGAAAGTCCAAAAAAGATAACAGAAGCTGCCAAAAGCCAAGAATTAACAGTGACAGAAAGAAGAAAAAAAGAAGAAAAAAAAAGATTTGTCTATCCGAAGAATAGACCAAAATCCGTTGGTTAGGTTAAAAATTGTTCCATCATTCAGTTCATTAATTTTTTATTAGATCTCTTCATAGACCGGCTTTGTTACCTTAAAATTATGTCGGTCACGGATTACGTCACGAAAAAAAAAAAAAAAACAAGTGCATCTGAAGTCTAACTAAATCGGGACAAATGATTTTGCACAATATAAAAAAACTTTGTTTTTTCTTTCCTCCTTTTCTTCTTCTTCTTTTTTTTTTTTTTTTTGGTTTTGTTTTTTCCTCTTTAACAT